ATATTATGACACTAAAAAAAACCCTGAAGCCTGAGATGATCTCTATACACATACGATAGCATGAAGGGGATGTGTAATAAGAACAAGTTCGGCTAAATCGTGATTTACAAAGTAGAAAGTGAACACACACAGTGAAACATAACGTGTTGGAAAAGATGGAAACATTCATCCCCTCCGTTCTCAAGTTCAAACATCATCTAATAATTACCATCACTCAGACCTAGTTCATTAAAAATACCAGCAGATAACAATTCAGCCACCTCTATAATCAAATACATTACAATCTGCCACTATCTATCGACCAAATAACCACGATGAGAACCATTCACACCCAACACCAACTCTAACAACTAACACGTAAAAAACTACCTCCAAATTAACATTTTATAATAAGATTTAATTAGAGTATCACACCCACATACTAATTTACATGATGGCGATATCTACAAACGCAGTAGGCTTGGTAACATACCTACAAACACACTTACAAGTCAGAAATAAAGCATAAATTCAGCGTTCTCTAAACTATCTAACTTACTACATATACATCAGACACAATAACAAAGCACTCTACAATCATGCGCTTTTAGTATTTCATATCTAGGAGCGAAGAAAGTTACTATACAAGACATACAGTACGAGATAGATGCGTTACTATCTTCTAACTATACCAGGAAAATCTAAAGAAAAAGCAACGTACCTCTAGAAGCCTGAATAAGCCTATGAGAACTACTCTTCTCGAAAGATGATTGTACAATAAAGCAATATCACATAATACTTCACCTAGTCTTATCACGGTGGCACCGCAACATCAGCGCTCAATCCACCATATTCTACGCAAAGCAACTCAATTCAACGCTCGGAGCATAAACAGTCAGAAATTCGCACCGTCAGCAGATAGTATTGATACCACCTCATTCCAGAGTTACTTTCATGATTTTGTCATGTTCCATATAACAAAAACAATTTTGAACTCATCACTTCAGTTAAGACCTTCAGATCTAAAAATCAAACTACTAAGATGCCTATGAATCCGTCACACGTGAATCGGACGGCGACAATACATATACAGAAAGAAAAGCTGCCATTTCTTACTAAATCCCCTTACTTTAAGCATTTCAACCACTAAAATCTTGACCCACAAATAACCAATTCTCGACCAGGCATTACCAATGACATATAGCGAGGTTGTGTTTCCACTAACTGCAAGAGAAAATCGCTGTATCTTCACAATCTCTATTTCTTTATATCACACTTGGCTCTTGATAAACCTCATTCTCTAATCATCTCAACCAAGCAACGACTACACCAACCGCGTCCTTAAAACCAGTAACCAAAGTACCAACAGGAGACACAAGTGCTAAAATAAACCAAACAACTATCACATTTACTATTCAATACTCTGAGTACTCATTTAAAAACGACTAGATAAAAAAAAACATCATTCCTGCAATATGACACAAAATGAAGGGTATCCGAGGGCTGTATTCATGTTGGACAATCACGTAAACACAGTTCAGCGGAGTAGTCGCGCACGAAGCGGTATACGCTGCTCTTATAAAGCCTCTGAATGAAGATTAATAGAAAAATGTGACTGTGACTAGTAAGGCACGACTAATTGTTATAAAAATACCAAAATAGACTTAGACCGTCTCTCTAGGCGAAAAATGCAATTACAATACACATGCACAAACGAGAGACAACAGCAAACCACCATATACCACAGCATCCTGGAGACTTCGCAGACCGGGATCTATACAGAGGCCATAATGTGCCACACAGATACTCGTGTAAGACTACAGAAGAATACAGGAAATCTCAGACAACGAGAGTAACTCAACACCCAACCGGCCATATCCACTGTCAAAATTCCCTCACTGGCAGCGAGCGATGGAAACATTACCACGCAGTAATTGAGCCAAAAACAATGACACGCTTACATTAAAAAGATAAAAGACAACCAGATTGTGACATTAGACATGGTCAATAAACTTACAAACACTACTTATCAGTTAACTGTCAGAAATTGGAAGAAGTACACTATCACTAAAAAATAATTAACACACTATAAAAAGACAATCAATGCCGCTTGCCTTCAGAACAAGAATTGTAACGATAGCACAGACAAACAAAATTCTCTTCAAACATCTTTAAACTCAAACGTACCCTCACTCTATTCATGCTAACATACTATCACAGACCACAACCTAGAAAGCGCAACAAGGACAGAGCAAGATAGCGGACCAGAAACCGAGAACACTAATGTACAAGCGATCATCTTCTTATACATCTTGTCAATATACCAAACCTCCAACTCAGCAGCTCGTTTACACTGAATCGCAACACCGCGGTATATGAAGAAACCGTGACCCCCATACATGACATCTCCTACTGATACGACTTCGATTGAGCTCTCATTCATTCACCATACTATCCGCGACCCCCCATTACGATCAGAACAGACACCTGTGTTTAAGAACATCATACATACAACGTTGATTAACTGTGTGTCCACAAAAAAAGTTTAAATGTTCCACATTAAAACCTTAAAAGTTCTAAAATTAACTCCTCTCTTCTCGCGTCATTTAAAACGATGTTCATTTCCCTAAGTTTTCACTGGCTGGACACAAGATTCTCCCTATCTTGACTGTGAAGAGGTCCATTCTTCAGTGGATTGTTGCACCTGTGGCTTCAAGTTTCTACATGGTCCACACTGTACAATAAGTTGGGTTGCATACTGGACCAGGATTGTTGAAATTGAAACTTTCCACTTTCAGCAGAGGAATGTGAAAACATCCCTCTGGTGTCAAACTCTGCACATACATCATTAAAACATCACACTGTAGGAAACAGAAACACTGATTTTGGACTGGAGGGGGACTTTAAATTAACCGGTTTCATCTTCCTCAGGGTTCTGGTTAACATGGATGACAACATCGTCCAGCACTACTCCAACGAGGACACCTTCATCCTGGCTATCGAGAGCTCAGCGGACTCCTTGCGTGTCACTCTGTCAGAGATCTGATGGTTGCTGGCCACAGCACTGTATTCGCTGGTCACCGTATTGTCAGGCAGAGGTGACCGCTGGTGGGTGGAGCTTTAGCAGATGACGCCGCCCAAATGTGTCCCTCGAGGAAGGCTACACAGTCTCAGCAGGGTCTGCTGCCCTACATGGATCATTGGCTAAACTAATCCACATGCACCTGACCTGCTGCAGTACCTGTTTACTAACCAGACAACATGCTGCAGGAGGATTTCTTGCATTAGGAACGCAGGCTTAACTTTGATAACTTATGGAAGTGCCCACATTTGTGGTTTCGGGGGGGGAAACTTTTGATATTTCAACAACCTATGCAAAAGCCTTGAGTAGCTGATTCAATTCTTTGTCCACGTCACCACAAGGCATCCAGTCCGCCTGCTGTGGGTTTCACAGGAAGAAGACGGTACAGTATACAGTAGTTTTATTGGATTAACAGCGAGGACTGCTGTTGGCTTCCTCTGTGCTTCTGCCATCCTTCCTGTTGCCTCTTCTAGTGGTGGAAGCTTTTAAATGACTTGATAAGATGTTTGAAAAGACTTTTGCTGGCACTCAACTGTTCAAGGCAACGGCTTATTGTTTTGTATGTGTGTAATTATTTTTAGATGTTCTTGACAGTTCTTATATCACCATTCAAAGTCACAAATCTTTCTTGGTTGTCTTTTTTTTTTATTGATCGGTCATGTTTTTTCCTGCGTGCTAAGTGTTTCCAATCGCTGCCAGTGAAATAACAGTTATCCCGGGTTGTGATTACACGCTGGTGTCTCCGGATCTATAATTACACGAGGCACCATTATGGAACAAGACCGCGAGTCTCCAGGATGCTGTTAAATTGTTTTGCTTCCTCCGTGCATGTGTTTATTGCTTTTGCGCTCACTGAAGAGACTGCAGTCATTAGTATTTATGACATTAGTTAGGCCCTACCAGTCCATCCATTTACACAATCCATCAGAGCTTAAGAGCCTGATCGCTCTGGCCCTACTCGCTGACTGTGTTTACACCTGATTCACTGACAGCCCCTGTACCCTTCATTTGTGTCATGCACCATGATGTACAGTCTTTTAAATGAGTCAATAAATATAGTTTTATATGTAGGCACTTGTGTCTCCTGGTTTTCTTTTTACTTTTAGCAGCAGTTTGTTGTCAGTTCTTGATGCTTTACAGATTAGTTATAAGCCAATTAATAAGAACACATTTTTCTCTTTCCAGGTTATGAAAAATCCCTTTGTTTGGTTGCCATCCATTCTAGTTGGTCCATTAATAAATGCTTAGTAAGTTTAGTAAGAAATGGGCCCTTTTCTGTAAGGAGCACATTAACTATGCACATATATTAACTGAGCTTAACTGAGAGAACAAAATATGGACATGACAAATGAAAGTAACTCTGAATGAAGTCACTTCTGGAGGCTTCCTACTGGCTATTGAGTGCTTGAGGGAGGGCATTGTGGGTAGACATAATTGTAGTTCTTATTTACAACACTTAAGAGACACGGCAATCAGCACTTAGGAATTATTTTGTATAGTTAAAAGTAGTCTCAACTATACTGAAACTACTTTCACCTCCCAAATACAAAGCCATTAAGTCCTCCTAATTGTTCATAAGTTGAAGTTTAGGACCATTAAGACCATTTCTTAGATGTTTTATAAATACCAGCCCTGGTCTGTAAAGCATCACTGAATGTATTAACTCTTAATAAAGTCATTAGAAAAAGTGACATTGTACTGAATGATCTGGTTTGGGGAGATGGCTCAGCGTTTCTATATCCTGTTACTCCTGATATAGATATCATTGAAGAAATGTTCAGCTTTCCAACACGTTATTTCACTGTGTTCCTTTCTGTAATCACGATTCCACTGTTAAACCTTCCATGCAGTACTGTAGAGATTCATCTCAGCTTCAGCTGTATTTTATGTTTAGTGCTAATAAGCAAACTTTTACATGTGAACATGCTAAACTGATGACCTGATGGCATGTTACCATGTTTGCATGCTGACATTAGAATTTAGCAGCAAGTACAGCCTCAAAGAGCTGCTAGCATGCCGCGGTACATATTTACATTTACAGTACAGCCTACCTAATTATGATTTATAATATGCTTCTCTAGCTATACTCTAACACAAAGGACCATTCAACAGGATGGTTCCTGTGTAAAACATTTCCAACTACTTTCACTTATGACAACTTTACCTACATACCTTTACAGTAGCTTTAATTATAAACTGTGTAAAAACGACACTGTTCCTAATCTTAATATGGGGCGTCCTGCTGGCTCACCTGGTGCAGCTGGCACCCCATGTGCCGGGGAAGTCCAATAAAGGCAAAAAAACAACTCTCTATAATATTCTTGACTGCTACTTCTTGTTATTATGATTCAACACACACACACACACACAGATACAATTAAGCAGACACCACAGAAATGCTTGCACACAATAAATTGTAAATTTAATTCTTGCCTTTTAAAGTTGACCAAAAAAACAGAATCCTGTGTTCAAAAACTGCAGTCACTAAATACAGGATACCATACAAAACCTACAAAATGCAACAATTACAAACATTTTGTTCAACAGATAACAATTGTACAGTATAAATTTATACAATACTGTTTTTTGTTTTTATTTGGCACTTGACCACAAGATGCTATTTTGTGTATTAACAGAAATGTTACACCTGACTCAGCTTTTTTTTTAAAAAAGGAAAAAAATAAATCATAAAAATACAATAAAAGCAACACATTGTGACAGTATCATTGCAGTAGTTGTGATTCTCGCTTTGTTTGTCTGCATCTTTTTTTTTTTTTCACAAAAAACAGCAGTTATTTAGTAAAACATTCAAAGCTTTTCTAATTGGAAAACAACGCAATAACTGAAACGGCTTCTTCGCTTGGCCCCGGGGAGGGCTCAGGTACATTCAGGGGGGGTGTGGTGTGGTGTGGTGGGGGGTGTCACACTGGTCCTGGTTGAACTGTCAAGGAGAGCTTTTTATCTCTGTTCTTCAGAGGGAGCGGGGATGAGTCCAAAAAATGTCAGTGGAGTCATTCCGTTTAAATTTAAAGGGAGAGTTGGTGTCAGTGTGACGCTGAATAGCATGCAGAATGAATTTCCCTATCTTCTTCTTTATTCGTTTCATGTAATACTGTAAATTGTGTCAGTGCTATGCTATCCATTGTGAGTGTACTTGGACTGTTGCTAAAGATTTGAGTCTTCTCTGTGTATGCGTGTTCCTGCTGCAGATACAATTTAATTATTAAGCTCAACTGAAACAGGAAAAAAAAGCTCTCAGCTCTGACTACCCAGAATCCCCATTAAACAGTGTGTCCTTATGTGTACTGGTTATTGTGCATGGTGGTCTTCCTAAAGCTCCTCTTTGTTTCCCTCCATCAAGTTATTCATTACAGCCATTACATGTGTCAGCTTTGGCAGTCCATACGCTGTCAATAACACTAAATACTGGTAGCACTAACGATGACAATACTAATGTACAGAAGCGAGCAGAGCCTGGTTCAGCCGCTGATCTCCATAAACATACGTAAAAACACACACATGCGCATAAAGTCACATGCATATGTGTTATTTAGTCTATGCACCCCTGTACCCAACGAATGATTCAACATGCAGCATTTAAAAACATCCAAAAGTGAACGTGAAGAGGTGTGTCTTTGTCTTCACGTGTCAAAAAAAGGAACTGGTTTGCATGCTTGACATCAGCTTAAATAAACAAACATTTTTTTTCATTATTTCACAACATTTGTTATCAACTGAGCAATTCTGAATTTGATTTACAAATTTAGGTGCACTTGAATTTATCTACACTGTACTCAAATACTGTAAAGACTAGTATTCTATTTTCCTTAAGCTAGAGAGCAGTAACACACCGCCACTCTCAAAGTCCTCTGTCTTACTGATATGAAAAACCACTGGAACAGATGATGGATAAAGGGATGCGTTTCATCCTTTGTTACATCAGTGAGACTTCACAAAATCAAACTACTGATCCGGGCGCATATGCATAGTAGCATAACATTACACGTTCATGTAATTCTGTCCCGGCACAAAATATGAAACAAAGTCTATCGAGTTTGCAAAATACACAAACACACACGTACACATTCTCACAGTAGAAAAGAGGAAACTAAAAGTACTTACTCGCTCTGAGTGAAGGACAAACTTCACAAGTCCTTTCTGCAGATTAAATAATCTTACTTACAGTGTCCTGTTATTCAACACCATCTCTCTCTCTTGTCTCATGCACACACTCTGTCTATGATACACATTAGAGTGGCTCTGTGTCGCCCCGGCTGGAGCCTTGAATGGCCAAGAAAAGACACTGATACAGAGACTCCAGTTTATACTGTATATACACAACCTACTGCAGACCTTCTTTATACTCTGACATGCTTATAGGAGAACTGAGGGATCCTGGTCAACTACAATCAGTGGGGGTTTGATAAACCTGTTGAGGTTTTGGAAAAGTCTTCAGGTTCAGTCTCTGTTGGGGTTTGGAGGGTTTAAGATAAAAAGCTCTGGGGTGGGGGGTTAACTGGAGAATGTGGCTCCTGTGCCCGTCTTTGAAGTCCTCAGTGCATATTGAAGGCCTGTCTTCTTCATCGTCATCAGCTTGTCATTCTTCATCATCAGTCTGCTCCTTAGTGGAGAGTTTAGGGCATTTCGAGTCACCCAAAGAAGCACTGCAAGGAGACAGAGGAGTCAGATTAGCACTCTTGTGACTCGAGCTGCAACAATAGATCCATGAATTGATTAACTGTCAACTAATCAATTAATTTGCCAACTATTTTGATAATTGATGAATAGTTGTGTGGACAAAACAAGACGTTTAAAGGACTTCACCTTGGACTTGGAGAAAATGTGATCAACATTGTTCACCATTTCTTTTACAGTTCACAGTCAATCAATTAATCTGGAAACGATTAATTGATGAATGAAAATAACCATTAGTTGCAGCCTAACTGTGGCAGCAAGTTTTAACATGCTGGGCATCATAATCATACATCAGTATTTCATGGTTTGCAAGTACGTTACAGAAGACATGTCAAGTGCGACAAAGTCTTTACATGTTTGTGAAGGTATCCGATCAAAATACATCACCAAAGTCCAAGATCATTTAAAAAAACAAAGGCAGACACTGCTCATTATTTTTGTATTTCTACAAACACAAACTACAGGATGTAACATATTTGAATATTCATTAGTTTATAGCTAAAACAATAAAACTATCAACATGTATTGTTAAATGTGTTCCAACTGACTGGGCAATATAAAACTATGCTATGTATAGTGATGCAGTAGAGGAAATCCTACTTTAAAAAAAGGGACACACACATTCAACTTTATCCAGGAGAGAAAATACAACCTCTAAAAGCTTGTAATACCAGATGATGCCTACCAATTGTCTGGGTATTTCTAAATGCAAAGTAGTTGCTGAACGGCAGCGAGCACAGCTGCTAATAAACTTCAAGGATGTGCCTGACCTCAAACAGTGCTCCCCTCTCATTCTCCAGCAAACTGGAGCTACAGTGAATCACTTCGGAACACTAAGAGACATTTTTGAAACATTAAAAATGGATGTCCCTCGCAATGTTATATGGTACAATATTTTTACAAGCACACGATGAGGTGCCCACATGAACGGGGGCTTTAGAAATAAAAAGCTTCTTCAGAACACCTTCAACTGCTCCAAAATACCAGGCCACCTCCTACAAAGTCTCTAATGTCAGTCCATGAAATACAAATAGCCACTGTGCCAGTGACACCGTGGATAACCCATCCCACGTCCTGCACAGTGCACGCAGGCTTTGAACAGCTTCCCTCCAGCAGGCATCTTCACTGGACGACTGTTCCTGAACCTCTGACTTCCTACTGATGGCACCTTCACTAACTCTCACCTTGCTGAACTCGCTACACTTTGCAGTTTTCAAAAAGTTAGGTGAACTCAATCTTTCACTGTGAGTCGTAATGCAGGAGGAGATGCTGAATGCAAGCCTTACAGGTTGTGTTGATGCCTCAGGTTTAGAACTGTCCGGCACTGCTGGGGTCGCACTGCAACAGGCGGACGATGGAGGGGTCACTCTTCGCTCCTTTGATGAACTCTTCCAGAGACAGCTTACCTGAAACACATACAACACAAGCAAAAACATTAGAAGAGAAATTATGTTTTTGTAATTTGTGTTTCTTTACATGGACAGTAGGGGGGGGGCTTGTGGAAAAATAATTAATTCTCTTGAAAAGAGAAGTCCTCCTCCAGCCAGAAACCAGTGTTTCTTCTTGTTCCTACAGTGTGCTGTTTGAATGCTGTATGTTTTCACAGTCATCTGCTGAAAGTGGAACGTTTCTCTGTGCTCATTGAACATCTGATTTTAAGGGGCGGGGCCTAAAGCATGATTTGTGACATCACAAATAGTTTGGAAGTCAGTCCTGGTCCAGTATCAACTTGTACAGTGTGATGTAGAAACTCAGTGATAAGTGTACCAGTTTGTGTACCTGTTTACTGAAGAGTCATTCTGGATGTGGGAAATGGCAGGTTTTTGTGATTGGGTTCAATCAAGATTTTGAAAGAATTTTAATGAGATGACAACAAAACACACATTTCAGGGTGAATCTTAAGATTATTTGTAAATGTTCTCACTTTAGAGCCTTGCGACCTAATCAGTGCATGCTACTTCTCACCAACAGGTGGCAGTGTTGAGACAGTTCTTTCTCCTGTCCACCTTCCTTACAGACAGACTCAGGGTGCCTCTCTACTCGTGATTCTCATTAGAAGAAGCAAGAGAAAGACAACACATTTCCACATCCAGGTCAGTGCACTCTCTCTCACTTTGTCCTGCTGTCAATTTTCTCCCAGTTCGTCCTCCTCCTCTCTTGTCCAACCCACTCCTCTTTCGCTACATCTTCTCCTCCTCCGACCCACACACTACTGACTAGTTCCTCACTGTCCACCTCTCCCTGTTGCTCCTATCTTGTCTCTGGGTCTCCTGTGCTCGGGTTTACCACTCGAGTGATTGTGCTGTATGACTAGAAACGCAGCTCGGGTGCAAATTCTGCTGTCAAAGAACTGCTGCTTCAGGCTGGAGGGCTCTGCAAGTGCCTCTGTAGTGGAAAACCAGCCTAGTTTGTACAATGATAACAGCTGCCGGCAAGCTAACCAGGTGGCAGTGACAAGCTGTTAAATACATTTGCAATTGAAATGTCTGTTGGGTCCAATTTCTCTGAAGTCAACCAATCAGCTAGTAAATAAACACATTTTATTAGATCCTTTTGATTTGTTAGCTATCTTTGTAGAGTAGCAAAAGGACATTTAAAAGGCTTTGTATGTCAAGTCAGGTCACAAGTTTTATAAATCGTGAATATCTTCAAATACCTGGTGTTTTTCTTCCTACCAGCAGAATTAGCCCGGTCAAAAATAACCAACAAGATGTTCCAAAGTCCATTTACCATTTTCTCTACCAAGCTGCTGTTAAACCTATGTGAAACTGCCCCCACTTTCACAAAGCAGTAGATGAGGTCAGCCTACCGTCTCTGTTGGTGTCCATCTGCCTGAAGATCTTCTCTGTCCTCTTCTCAGGTGTCGACTCGTCCTCAGGCATCTTCATCACCGAGGATACCATCTTATAGATTGCCTGCAAAGGGACATGAGTCAGGTCATCTCAGAGCCATTCCTGCCATTCTTCCCTGAACTGAAGGTTTACCATTCTTTTATTTTTTAATGCTTATCTTTAAAGCCATTGTCAGTCAACTTTTTGTCTTCCCCTGTATGTCTCCTGTTTAACAGCTAACATACAAGATCATCTATATGGATCGTTCTTGAAGGACCACAAAAATAAATTTTTTCAATCAACTTCTTACTGGAGTCCTAAATGATCACACTATTTGTTTGTATTTGTATTGTTTTTTTTTAATCTGTGCTCTTCTTACAAGTTTTACAGTCGAAAAAAGGTGACGTCATGTACTCCTGTGCACCAATCAGGATTTAGCACAATTTGAATAAAAATGTGATGAGGGGGTTGTTTGTATGTTGGCAGGCCACAGTCAGTGTGATGGAGCAGATGAGCTCAATTTAAGAGCATTAAACTTTCAATAGAGAATACAATTCTGCTTTTTCCAAACGTTAACATTTTATTGTTGCACATTTATTAATGAATAATTCATGTTCAAGCAAATTACTCCATGTTTTCGGGGCTTCACTGTCTCCTGACTATAATGACTTGCAAGACTTCTTTTGTAAATACTTCATGAAAAATGAAACTGTGGAAAGGGATCTGTCATGTGAAAGAGATGATGCATCTCAAGGAAGTGGTTGCATAAAGAGTTTTATTTTATAAGATCAGGCGATCATAAGGAAATCCAGACTAAGGATGCACCGATCCAACGGTTTCTACTAATAACAATTCTGAGACCTTATCATCTTTGTGCTGTTTCTGTTTGCTGATTGTGTTCTTGTGAATCTTTCTTGTTCTCAGGCCTCTCTTGGAAAATAGATCTTAATCTCAATCAGACTTCCTGACTGTGTGGATCATTTGTATGTAAGGAGGTCTGGGATCACTAAAAACTGAGCCTTCTGCCCACTGTGACTTTATATTGTTGATAATTATAGTATACTATTGTTGTTATTGTATAGGTTATGTCCACTAGTAGTCCTATAGCTGCAGGTAAATGTAGAAGCTAGCTTATTATCTATATACATGATGCACACACACATGATGAATATTTATGTATTTCTGCTATTCTTTCCTAAGCTGAATGCTTAGGAAATCATCTGCAGTGCTCTTCTCCTCAGTCGCTGCTGCTTCATTCAAGCTAGTTAAGAAATGCAACAAAGTATTCATTTGCAAACCTTGTGTGCCTGCATATTCAACGCACCCTAAGACACCGAGAGCAGAATGACTTGACAGACCCAGAGAGGCGACACACAGGAGTTGGCCACACATAGGATCTTATGTAACATGCAGCTGTCATATTTAATTTACTGATATAAGTAACATTTATTCTGCTGTCTCACAAAGACAAACACACGGGTGAGTCAGTACATATTCACAGTGCTTACACCCAGTCAGACGAGAATTTATTCCAATATGTCAACTTGTTGCACTGCCTCTGTGATTACATTTTCAAGGTTTACGTAGGGAGGGGTGGAGACAAACATACGCACATACACTATCCCGCACAGACTATTTATCAGTGTTGTGTCTCCTTTGCTCTCTGTTGCATTGCAGGCTGTTTGGCAGTAAACAGTGAAATCACAGCCCACTCTCTCTGTCTCTAATAAGGAGGCGGATTTGAGGGGAATGGGAGCTGACATGTGAACAGAGGAGGGCTGATTGTGATTACAGTGCAGCGGGAGCTTTAAATAGGTGCTGGTTATGCCTCCTAATACACAGTACAGCAGGGCGGCTCAGCTCCTGGGTCACAGTGGAGCTGAGGAACAAACAGCAGCCATGGTTAATATCAGTCCTCATTTCAGTTTGGAGCTGGGTCTGTTATTAATCGAAATCCACCAAACCGCTGCGAGTGTTTAGGACATTTAGCCAATATTACATGTTGGGGATTTAGACGTCGGTCTAATCCAGTGCAACGCAGTGGAATAAGCTTAAATGTCTAAATCCCAAAATTACAAGCAACCAATAAGAAGTGAAACGATCTGGAGCTTATAGCGCTCTCAATATTCCCGACTACACACAGTACTATGAACACAGCAAGAGCCAAAGATTTCCTCTGCCATTAAAAACACATCAATGAGCCACATGTCACCGCCTTGGTTACCCAGTACACACACACTCAAGTTTATTTTGAGTCAGTCCCACACACACTGTCCTGCTGTCACAAATACTCACTAGAGCACCACCATACACCATTGTGTGTAAACGGCACTATAGTGACAGTGGACAACTACTGAAAAGCCACTTTCATGTATATGCATGGGTTTCTTTGTTAAAGCTACACAACAGCCTCTACAGTGGACACTAATTCTCAACACTATAGCTAGCAACCTAGTGGCAAGCAACAGACCTTTTCTCATGTTCAAATAGCTGCTGTGAAAAAGGTCTATTGTGAGTGCAATCAGAGACAGTTTGGAAAGGAGATGGTTCACTGAAGAGTCATTTCCTATATTTGTGTCTCTCTTTAGGAGGCCAGTGACAGGTCCGGAGTCTATTGACTCTGATGGGAAAAGTGAAAGTGAGTACAGACAATGACCGATTCTTGGAGAGGAGACCACCCCCACTTAGGACTAATAAGTGTATAACATTTCATACCATTGGTGCAGCTTGTAATGCATTATCTTCTTTTATAAAGAATTTTTCATGCAATTACAAACCATGACAACCATGATGGCTGTTGGTTTATGTTACAATAATTGCAGTGTGGAGCATTTTGATCATTGTATTTAGTGGAGCTTGAGAGCTGCGTGTGACAGACACAGGGTAGTGGGGTGGATATCATGTGACTCAAGTGAGAATGCCGACAGTGACAGTGATGATGAATGGAAGCCAGACAAAGAAGCAGCAGCAGGTCCTGACCCATCTTTCTGCAGTAATCACAGCGGAGCTGAGGACGTTCAGGATGTGCCACCTGACGTGGCTTCATCCTGTGCTGGTCAGTGTGCACCAGTTTTGGATCTTGTACTTGCTTCGTGCAAATAAGAGAAAAAAGATGGTCAGCATCCTAAGCTCATTTGTACAATCACACTGGATGAGCAGAGCTAATGGATATGTTAAGCAGAATGGTAAATGTTAAAATATGACTTTCAAAGATTTCAGATAATTGACTATTCTCTTTCTCAGTCTGTTCATACATATCACCTACAATTGAAAACGCAAATGCATGAGTGGACACCTAAAAAATAAAATGATGTATTTCTTGAATATAGGAGAGTAAATACACAAAGAAAAGAATCTTGACTCAGGAGTATTCATGCATTAAAAGCTGAAAATAGTCACCAACAAATGCACTACTTCCTCAAACCTACAGTGCCATTTTAGGACATGGCAAAAAAAAAGACTATCATGTATTTGTGACCCTTATAAAGATTGATTGTCGTCAGTAAGACGACAGACAGGGTACATTGGTCTTTTCCAGGGATTTGCTGACAAAAGTCGTATCCTTTAACACAGCCAGTCTTTAGATAACACATCTGAGGTGGGCAGAGTAAGTCTCCTGCATCACAAGTAAAGCCAGTGTTATTTAAGTTTGCTCCTTTCCTCTCCAGTATCCACAGACCACAATCTTTGTCTTAATTGGCTGTCTTTCTATCTTTTGTTTTTTCCTCCCAAACATGACACCCTGTCAGCTGGTATATCCTCTCTGAATTCTCTATATTTCTCTCACAACCTTAACAATTAAAACTACCTGGACATTGTTTTTTTTCTTCTCTGCCGACTTTTCTTTATTTGTCTGTAACACACATACGTATTTTTATATTTTAGACAGCCTCCGCCAAGCCTCAGAGGTCTACGCAGTACCCATTCTACAACCTGAATGCCACAAGAAGAAAAAAGACAGTTCTTTCATACCCTTCCAGCAGGGAGCTTCCAGACAAGAACACAACATCGCCTCCCGTGGAGCCGGAAACAGCCTGAGCCACAGTTAAGTGAGGACAAGGAGAGAGATGGGGNNGGGGGGGGGGGGGAGTACATGGCTACTAAGCCACAGCTGTGGACTATTACCTGGCCACTTATGAATGAGAGTGAGAAGGAAAGTCATCACATATGTAACTGCCTTCCCTTCACACCTTATAACCACATCAGATAATACAGAGAGAGACAGACCTCTCCACGAGATGGAAAGGGGAAGAATAAGGCAAGTCGTCCACTTGTTGAGACTTAGTTACCGACAGAGCCAGCTGAGGACCGTTTGAGACGTCCTGCAGTAATAAACACACACAGCATCCTGCCTCACCCTCACACCAAAGATGAATACGTTTCCCATGGCAACTTTATCAGCCGTGATCCATTCATCTAGCCTGCTATTCTGTTCAATCTCACTAAATTACTACTGTGAATACTCTCTCCCTCCTCCTTTAGCCAATCGAGACAATGAACTTCCCTCTGTGCCGGCTGATAGCGCCGTGTTACAGATGAAAGGTAGACAGAGGTTAGATATCAACTATTGATGAGTGGATAAGACCTGATTCTCCCTGCGTTCAGATTTTGCTATTATCTGAGGAAGATGAGTCAGACTGGCTGCGATACTTCTCATTCAATTACTTCCACAGCCAGTCTAATTATGAGCATCACCAGCATTTACACACTCTCTGCAGGAGAGACCATTAGCTAGCTGCAGTGTGCCGCAACTCTCTGTCACTGCGGCAAATGGAGGCGAGTGTGAACAAAAAGCATGAGACCACTGTGGGGGGATTGACAGGGTTCTTTAGGGGAAGCATTTGCAAGTGTTGGCCACAAAAACATGGTGTGGTAGACAGTGTCACTTACAGAGGCAGAGTCTAAATTGGGCTTAACTTGCTGTTAAATTATAATTCAAAGATTTATATGACACAATTAAGGCTGTATAGATGGGAGTATGAAAGAGATTAAAGATTTGTTCATACTTTACTAGAGATGCACTCCAAATATGTGCACTAGAAAACAAGATGGCTCCTGGTTTGTTTGCCTTTTACTTATTGTTTAGCCAAATACAATGCAGAAAATGGCTTGTACGACCGCTCAACAATAATAGGACTATAGATGGGAACTACAGTACAGTGAACCAAGTGTTTGCTTTTGCAGTGTGCAGTCGAATCATGTGGTGACCAATTTTGGCTGGTGGTTGCATTGGCAGATTATCAGATGTGTCATGCAGACCCTGACAGCCAAATGGATGCAGCAACCATAAACCGAATCTACAGCTATGCTAATGGCTCTGCAAATTAGGAGATTCAGTGGACTCGAGGATCTTCACCAAAACGACCTGAAAACATGTAGTGTGTTTCCAGTTTTAGCTGGCTGGCCTGGATTTAGCTAACACACTTGCTAGTGTTCAATCACAATGAATGCCAATAACTCTGAGTACTGTAGACATCTTAACCAGAAGGTTCTCCATAGAGCCCCTCAGCAGAGCCACACCACACAGAATCCACACACCTAGAACATTTGTCCATTTACCATTACGCAAAGAAAAGCTGAGAATCGCAAAACAAATGTAAGAAATACAAACAAAAGACAGATGACACAGTCACATTACAGCTGATTTCTTTACATTTAACATCGTAGCTCATATTTTGGAATGATAATAACTTGGGGTTGTAGTTACTGTTGGATTGCAATCTCAATATGAATATATATAGAATATGGCGCTAGATGAATTGAGGGGATCATCGAAGTTATTACAATTCCTCCTAAGTGGGATATGAATGTGTGCCCTAAATTTCATAGCAATCTATTCAAGAGCTGTCTGAAAACCAACGGCAACCTCATGATGGTGAGCAGCAACACTGAAGCTTGTGAACAATATGTTGCCTTTAGGCTGAGGAAGGACGTCGGGGCTTAGCCTGCTACCATCACGACTCCTACCCAGATGGATTTAGCTTTATGAGATCCACCTGCCAATCTGCCCTCTGATACCACTGAAAGCAGATACTATGATCACACTAAGCTGCAGACTTTACTCAAAGACTTTGAGCTCAGGCATCATTTTAACTTCAGCAGTTACTTGCAGAAGTCAGCGCTACCTGAAAGCTTTTCTCTTAAGCCCGCTTTCTCTCTGCAGAGGCGGGTGGCTTTGAACCAGGAGAGTCAAACAGCCAATTGCAGAGAGGGAGCAGATAGGCATGAAGATAGATGAATACTGTGTGTGTTTGTATAAATGCTCCTCTATCTGAGACAGACATAGAGAGATTGAGATGGCCCTGGGCTCTTTCTAAAACTGCACTTCAGCAATAAGAAATGGCACTGTCTAATCTAATAAAGTAAAACACAGAGCTCCTGCTTCTACACTTCAAAATCTACAATCAGATTTGAGTTAGAGCTACAGTACTGCGTTTTGCATTCATGGTGGAAGTGGTCAACATTTCTGAGCCCTTAACAGACTGCAGCTAATTAACATCTGCCACATACACACAAACTAATTAGCTAAATAATCACAGACATGCTGCAGATTCATTCCCTCATTGTGGCAAAACTATCAACTTTTCTACACTCCTGTTCTCTTATTCACCTTAATTGATATGCCCTGCAGACAGCCAGACATGAACATCTGAGTCACCGCTTTCTATTTTTTTGTCCTTGGGAACAGCACCACCTTTTAATGGAAAGTGTGCAGAGGGTTTACGTCGTCAGGATGTAAAAAGAAGTGACAGGTCTGAATCACTGCGGTCTAGAGGTAGGGAGGCTAATTTAACCTTGAAGCAATGATATGTGGGCACATGTGAGGCATTATAGATTTATATATCCTAGGAAGGGCTGTGGCTGCCTTGGACATGAATCAGAGAAGTTGGCTAGATTAGCCTCGACTCTATAGCTACTGTACTTGTACCATTAGCGATTCAGATGCTTAGAGAAACAAAGATTCTGAATATTAAAATACAAATCAAAGCTCTGTGGTGCTATTGTGGGAAAGAGCAGAAAATCACAAATGTGCAAACAATAATAGGTAGAGGAGTACAAAACAAAGCAGCCCATGAGCTATGATACATTAAGCTGTGCAATATTGACAGAAGACAAAGGCAGACGCACTGACCAGGGCAGAGTTGCATGCACACATTTAAATGAGCAGTAAGTGCTATATTTTAATTAGATATGATGCATTTCAGTGCATTTCAATTGTTGCCACATTATGACAAATGCTAATAGATTAGTCATCAGTAGGATGATGTGGATACTTTCATTAATTGTTTTAATGCACATAACTGACTTTGGGGCTTTTTGTTTTGACTGTCATCGGTTTCGATTAAGATTGTACTCGACACAAAGACACATTATTTTGTTATATTTTAGTAAAAAACACAGTATATTGTGTTATTGGTTACATTACCTCAGTCTAAAGTATGTGTTTTACCTGCAAAGATAAGAAACAGATTTTTCTGATGTAAATATTTTAAAAATACAGTAACTGAAAAATACCCCAGAATAATGCAGTTACTGTGTTCGGTGAAACTTTCATACTTTGTGAAACACTGTATACAACAAATGATTAATCCTCGTGCCTTTGAATGAACTGGGAATTAAATGTAACATATCAATTTATTTATGAAAAATAACATTGTAGTTCGCCTGTCTTACTCCTTGTTTCTTGGCCTCACGGTAACCATGCTGCACAGGGCCGATTGGCAAAAGAAAATTACAGCTCACTGTACATACATTAAAGAGAAACACTGTCTCTAAAATTAAGAAGTCTGCTCAAGGAGAGGTGAAACTAGGTGAAACTGAAGTGGGATCAACTAGCTGCTGTTGCACAAATGTGGAGGAAGTAAGAAAAAAAAGTGAGGGAGAAGTGTTACACACAAACACACACACCGATATATATAGTATATGTGTGTGCAGCTCTAATAGTCCGTTTACATGAGAAGCTTGTGTGCAGGAAATGCCATCCGTGCCACCCCCCCTTTCCCCTTGTCATTTTCTTTTCTAAAGGTGAGCCAGCTTCTGTACTGTAAACCTACAGTATAGACTGTACAACTGAACTAAACCTCTCTTTTCAAAATGACCAGGGCTTTTTCTCAAATTGCTTGTGTCAGGTTTAATCTTTTTTCCGAATGTTTGAAAGTCCACATAGCCCGCTGGGCATTGACATTTACCTTCATTACTTTAATGAATAACAACAGGTTAGCATGCAGGGCTTTTAACACTTTCAGGGATTTAATATAAACGTCCTTCCTCATCTTTCCAGCATTAGGCTGTTTTGGCAGCTATAATAAAGAAACCAAAAAGGCTTTACAAAATATGCTAATGCTTGTACTAGATAAAACATGCACACATAAACACGACAGTACAAGACTTAATACGGTCTTAATACACACTACAAGCCAACCCTTTAAGAAGTTTAAACAGAGGAGAATACAGAGCCTACTACATGTCTGCTAAAACACCTACTGTATACTAATCTCTATTTCCATTTGTGGAACTTAAAACGGAAAATTGATCCTTTTCCCTTCTAGATAAGAGTAAAAGCAACATTTAAGGAGTAAAGCTAATACATTCCTGAATGTTTCCAAAACTGCTTTTATTGGCAGGACGATAAACGTTTCCAATGAATCTTTATATCTTAATGCATCTTTTAAGTACACTGACATTTCAATGGAGGCAGTAAATGAGGTCCTGAGGTATATATCTCTCAGAGATCCTGTGTTAGAGGCACATCCAGCTCCATGGAGCAGAGCTGTATGTCCTCCTGTTCTTAAAATGCCAGCACTGTTTTCCCTAGTCTCATAAAGAGTGTGTTATGGATACAGTGGCAGTGCTGTTAATACAATACTACCCTGGCTAATGTTACAGCCAGTGTTGTGTGTGTGAGTGTGCACATGTCTATGCGTCACCTGATAGATATTAATTCAACTGACTGCCTCACATTCACAGACAACACTTGAGGCTACCATGTGAAAGAAACTTTTTTCCTGTGTCATTTTCTGTCCTGCATGTTTCTGTATTTCAGACACTGGGATCTTTTGTTATCTGTAGTCTGTTCAATATGCAGTGTTTATATACAACGTGTCCATCTGCCTCCATGCACACTCACCTGAACAATCTCCAGCATCTCAGCTTTACTGATGTACCCGTTTCCATCCAGGTCGTACATACTGAAGGCCCATTTAAGCTTCTGCTCCAGCTTGCCACGTGACGTCACACTTAGTGCGATGATAAACTCCCGGAAGTCTATTGTCCCGTCGCCATTGGCATCAAACGTGCGGAAGACGTGCTCGGCAAACTTTGACGCGTCTCCGTAGGGAAAGAAGTTACCATAGATCTTCTTGAACTCCTCCATGGAGAGGTTCCCGCTGGGGCAGTCCCTCAGGAAGCCCTTGTACCACTCCTGGATCTCATGCTCGGTGAAGTCGGTGCTCTCCAGGAGGTCCTGCATCACCTCAGGACGGAGCTTGCTGTTCTGCTTCCCCATGTCTGTCGGCCCTGTCAATCACTCGGCTCACAGCTGGGAGAGAGAGGGAGATGAAAAGGTTTGGTTTTAGGGTGGGATAAACAACAGGCAATTTAAAGTGCAATTCTATTGATTTCTTGGGTCCCAGCTGAAGGACAGCTGTTGCTCATAGACATAATCACAGTTAGTTTATGACTACTTGCAAGGCCACTTTCCAAGGCCTGAATCCTGTGTATGAATCAGCAACATAACCACCAGATGAAGCCAAGGATGCAGCTGTTGTGTCCTCAAGCTGCTTTACCAAGGTATGAACCAAAAATGTAAGCAACCCTTCTTTGCAGACTTTACGTTTATCAGGACTGAAATCACCTCCTTTTTAACAAACTATTGGAACTTTCCATGGAAAACAGCGCTGTGTACTCTGGGTACACACAGCGCCATATGCCCAACATGGGTTTAATTAGTCTATAAAATCTCTAGACACACACTAACGTCAGCTTAGCTGTACTGGAAGGAAAAGGTGGTGCAGTCAAATTATATTGAAGCTGAGCCACTCAACAAACATCATTAAAATTCATAACCTCTTGAGAAACAATTTCTTAATTCTCTTCCTGGAACTGGTGCATCAGTGTTCGTAGTATAGCTCTTTATGAACAGGATGAAGTCTTAAAATCCCTGTTTGCAGTCGATTTAAATATAAAATATAATATAAAATTCACTCAAAATAGTAACAATGATTACTCATCATCTAGATGCAGTTGAGCCAGAATAAAAGCACATTATATTACTCTCTGACAATAAAGGTCATGGTGCTCATAAAGATGTCTGTTTGCCATGTTGAATTATTGGTGCCTCGGAGCTGAGAAATTATTGGTTGACCTAGACATTAAGTTCATAAAACACCCCAATGAATAGACGTTAAATCGGGTTAACAATTAAATGTTTTCCAGTGTTCCAGTTAGTTTATGACAGACACTCTTCATGCATTAAAACACAGAAATTGTTGAGCAGTTTAATCAAATCCTTACAATATTACAATCATATCCTCTTTTCAAGTCTATGATTCCATAAGTAACAAGTAATGCCTGATGTTTATGAAGACCCAAAGTGTTCAATTTCACAATTTTTGTGAAGTTTTTTGTTTCAAAATGTCAAAAATTCCCCCAGTGACTGTTAATATCCATCAGAATATCTTATTTGTTTATTTAATATTGGCTACATAGATATTATCTCTCTAGAGACAAAAGAGGTAGCAGATACATCGGCAGACAGACAGAGTCAGAGTATGACTGGGATATAGTGACAGCAGGGCAAAAAGTGACAAGAGCCACAGTAGAGTCAGTGTTATCTGCCTTTTGGTGAAACAAACAGGAAGTGCCTGCTCCTGGTCTCTGTGAGATTGTTCTCTCAATACAGTAACCATGCTCTCTGCAGGCTCATATTTTATTATGTGTGTTCATCATAAGCCTTTATGCAACCAAAACACAGTTATAAGAACCAAACATGCAGTAATTTCCCTAACATACTTAATCCTGTATGTGTTTAGATTGCACTGTATGTATTTATGTCCAGCAGATATTCAGCCCTGTGCAGTGCCCTGTCAGCCTCACCTTGGCCTTCACTCTGAAAACTCTCAGGAAATGACTCACTTCTATACTCAAAACCACCTAGCAAGGTCCTTGAATACAACTGTGCTATAGGAAACCATATGAAATGACAAACAACTGCTAAAAGTTTATTTTTCAAATCCCTGGGAACAGGTCATCTACAGTTGACTACTACAGTCACACATTGAGAAAAATGAGAACAAAAAGTGCGACCTCAGACTTTTAATCTACTAACATCAAGTCATATCATGGCAGATACTAAAAAAAAAAAAACAGATCTCCTGCATTCAAGGTTCAACCAAGGCTACCACTAAGCAAAAATTCCACAATGTACTCAAGTATACTTGAAAAGCGATAACTTATCAGAGTGTTAAGTTATCAACTCTCAGAGCCTGATGCAAAAGCCTGAGCTCCAGCCGTGCCCTAAAACACAGTGAAATAAGCAGCCAGGCTGTTACAGAACAGCTTCTACTTCTCTTTGGGAAACATGACAGTGGAAATGGCTCTGATGTCTGGTTGAGACACAGTCATAACCAAGGATCGCAATCATTTGAGAGGCACATGAATGAATGGAAGAAGGATTTTGTGGGGACACTGTCCTTTGTTTACTTCTATCGCAGACTTTTGGTTGAACAGCCACATCGGGTACAGCAAGAAAAACTGCTTAACATTTAAACAGCAGCATACGGAAACTGTGGGAAGGATAGATAACACAGAAGTAAACAGAAACATTTAACAGGCTGCACATATATCAATAAAGACAAGATAACCTGGAGCCTGGACTCAAGAGTAACCGAAGGGAAAACCAATCCCAAACCCTCTTAAACAGTTAATTCATGGACTTTTCAAGGACATCCCTCAAATTCAAGGACACAAATCAAGGTTAATTACTGTTACAACACTAAGAAATCACCATTTTTACTTTAGCATGTTAGCATGTTAACATTTGCTAATTAGCTCTGAATACAAAGTACAGCTGAGGCTGATGGGAATGCCTTGCAGGTATTTGGTAAATAAATGAATTGATTAGGAACACTTTTAGTTTGCAAAGACTGTTGTGAAGTGGTGGACTGACTGCCACCCACAGAGCCATGCAGCTAACATGGCACTTGCAAACCAAAATGTGGATAAAAAAGCTTTAGTTTAGAATAAGAAACAATGAGTCCTAGTCTCTACACCAAGCCCTTTGCTGCAATTTTTGAATGCCATACAGACATGAAATTTAATTAGTCATTACTTTCAGAGGTTTTTATTCATGTTCTCTCAAGTGCATCCTGTTTCTACACTTTCTGTTTAGTCTTCTTTTACCAATTGCAAGGCACGAACAAAAGAAGTTTAAGGCCTTTAACAATAAATGAAAGACCATCAAAAAGTATATGTGCCAGGCTTTTTTTAAACTTTAAAATTTAAGTAAAAAAACAAAAACAAAACCTTTGGATGAGTTTGTTTTTGGCACAAGTAGAGTCATGATGCTTTTATTTTCCTCTATCCTATAATGCACAACTGAAGGTTTGGTTGAGAAAACTTTGACTTTACGCCAATTACTGCACTGACTACTGTTTAAGGTGCTGCTACAGCAACTGACCCTCAGAGTGATCACACTTCTCAAGGCTCTTCACTAATGGAATCCACAGCCGTGACCCTGTCCACTGCTGTAACACACACACACACACACACACATATACTCACAAAGCCTTAATTACTGACCCACTGTGCCCTGTCACCTGCTATGATACATATATATACACACACACAGCCGTAGTGATGAAACCACTCTGATGCTCAGCCAACTGAGCTGATTTGTTTTCGGCTGCTCGTCTGTATTTGTGTGTGTCTGTGTGCTGTTATCTCTTCTTCTAAGAACTAGTGTGAATATTAGACCTAAGGAAGTAAATGAGCTACTTTAGAGTTCAGTTTGGGTTTAAATTTCAGATTTAAATGAAATTGGGTTTGCTTTATGTTTAGAGTTAGCTGGTAAGGAGATACATGTAGTCAAAGACAGGCTGAAACATGGACAGAGATAAAAAGATAAGTGTGTGTATGTGTTGAAATGAGAACAAGAGCTTGTGTATGTACTGTACTGTATATTTCAGATTGACAGCAGCTGACATTTAAACGAGTAGGCTCTGGTGAGTGACAGAAAACGTTTTTGTGTCTCTCAAGGCTGCTACATGCGTGCTGTTCAGAATGTTGGATAGTGCTGGAAAGCTGCTTTATCACAGTTGGGCTGGGGGTGGTATACCTAAACATTTTCAACATTTTCCAAAAACAGGCAATCTGACAGTCTCTGCTCACTTTCCACATCAACAGGCCAGATGTGCTTAGATGGGATAATAACTGTGTCACAAATTCAATTTGGTTTCTTCCCACAGCCACTTTGACCACTACATCAATCAGTTTGATCCACAATTGTTAGCTCCTTTGCAGGAGGAGATACTGTTGCTCCGTTCCTTTTCTTACCATTTATCTAACAGATAGAAATCTTAAGGCGTCAACCTCCTGCAACTGCTTAACATTAAAAATGCCCAGCTGCTCAAAGGGAATTGATGACAGCCATTTGCAGTACTAATTGGGTGCATAATATTAATGAACATTTTCTGTCGCAGACAATATAATAAGGGAACAAAAAACAAAATGAAACAAGACAAAGGGCAGATTCTGGCAAATCTGGTGCTGCAGCAAAAAAGACAGTCCTCCTATTCATTTTGAGTGGTGGTTCGGCTGTAATGGATGCTGAAAAACAAACAAACAAAAATGCAGCGACTTGTGGGGAAAAAGTTGAAACTGACTATATATAGACTATACGGTCTGTATACGGCCTAAGGGACTAGCGGCTTTGAGAGGCTGCAATCGAGCATAGCGGTGCACTGAGCTAAATGCAACATCTGCATGCTAACACACTGACAATAATCAGCTGCTTACCATGTTCACATCTTTGTGATGTGACAGCTACAAGAAGTGCTGCAGCGCTTCACTGTCTGACCCATACGTTCTACAAAAGCTACTTATGTGACTAAATAAGGTTATTTAAAAACAATTGGACATCAGTTTCTTGCTGCAGTTCAGAAAAGATGAGAACAATTTGGCTGGAAACTTTACACTGCTCCTGTCTCTCATCCACTTACACTTCCTTTCTTGAAGCCAGCTGCAGAACCATTTGGACTCCGCCTCAAATCACTCCAACCAAATGAATTATGATTCAAATCGAGCGTGCGGACAGTAGTGGGGTGCGATTCAGATTCAAATAGAACCTGGGCAGACCTGGTTCCAAGGCTCCAATTCACATTCAGATTATAACAACCTACCCACTTATCTCTCTCTCTCACACACACACACACACACACTCACCAGTCAAGCGGCGGATATTTTCCGACCACTTCCTCTGTGGATAAAACAATTTCTATGTAAAACACAAAGCCTCTCTACGATGAAAGGCTGTGAAGTCCG